GTTTTGATAGAATTCAGTGCGACTTGGTCTGTTTTTCCCGTGACGCATCGCCTTTGCGGTCGAAGAAACGGCGGGATTATCAAAGTGATATGGCGCCGCCTACGCTCCACCCGGTCGCTCCAGTCCAGACGGAACCGGAACTCGCCTGCCCGTCTCGGCGGCCCATTTTGCAGTGTCGGAATCCCCTCGTCATTTCGCTACAAAAATTTGGCGCCGGAAATGCGACCACCTTGACGCCCGTTGAGTCTTGAAGTGCGAATTTGAAGCACTTTCTCTTCGCTTTCGGTGCGGTCCCCCTGGTACCTATACGTAGCGCGGTGTTTCCGACTACTTGCCCCCCCCCCCCCCCCCCCCCAGCTGTCAGCACCACCCGCGCTGGCGCCATTTCACCCCGTCTGATGGATAAATTGGCAATTATTCGCTATCTCGTGAGTCCGGCGCGGCCTGCACCATTATCGCTATCGCCACGCTGTCTCTCTCGCACCCCCGCCGGCCCGCGCGACTAGAGACCCTCCCGTCAGAGATGCGCAACCCGCCTTGGGACCCGTGTAGTCAAAGGCACCCTGAGTCAGGTGCAAGCGACCGCCGTATAACCTGCTGGCCGCCCCAGATGCACCTGCGTAGCCTCGCGCGGGGCGAATTCGGCTTCCCGTCCGCATGGGACTACCAGTCGTCTGTGATTGGCTGAGAGGGCCCCTTTGCGCACTCTGACGGAGGGTCTCTACGCGCGACGCCCGTGAGTGCGAGAGAGACGGCGCGACGTGTTCGGAAATCAGCCTGCCCGGGCGATAGCTTGACTCAATTTCCGGATTTTTACCTCGCAGACAGGTGTGCCTGAAAAAAAAACGCGGCCGGAGGGTCTTGAACCCGAACCAGCCGCTTGGTTTCGGCCTTGGTTGCAGGATACTCGCAAAAAAACAGCAGCTGTTGATTTGGGAAACATATTCAGAATTCCAGTCCAGCAATAATGACGAAAATAGCGACAATGCGATAGTCTAACCCCTTCCGCTGGGGAGATAGGCCCGAGACGGCCCGGGTTCAACGCCCTGCTCCACTACCGGCAAGGCGGGGCGGGGCGGGCGGGGCGGGCGGGGGGGGCCTCTCTCTGGATGCAGCGCTCCGACAAGGGGCTTGTATTTCGTGGAATTTCCTTGTGATTTCGGCCAATTCCTTGCCGACTGCTGGGGAAGCCCGAGACCACCCTGGCTGGGCCGGGCTGGGCTGGCCGGGCTGGGCTGGCCGGGCAGGCCGCCAGGCTTGCCGCCCATTGAGCGCCGACTCATTGGCGAGGTGCTAAGTGGATCAAGGCGGCTTACTTGGCTTACTCCTCGCACCGGCGCTGGGCGGAGCCCTCGGCAGAGCCGCGCCGCAACGGGGGGCGGGGGCGGCGGGGCGGGGCGGGGCGGGGCGGGGCGGGGGGGGGGGGGCGGGGCGGGGCGGGGCGGGCGAAGGGCCCTTGAACTCGGAGGGAAAACCTGCGGGGACGTCTCGCCCAAGAGGACCGTCTTCACCCTTTGGAGGGCTGCCGCGGCGTTCCCCGAAGACCGGTGGAGGCGGCCAAAACTCTGGACTCGTTTTGAGCTCCAGAGTCGCTAAATAGGACTCGAACCGAACGTGTGACCCCACCAATGGATTGCTCTCCGAATGGGGAATCCATTGGTGGGGTCACACGTTCGGTTCGAGTCCCATTTAGCGACTCTGGAGCTCAAAACGCGTCAAGAGTTCGGCCGCCTCCACCGGTCTTCTGGCAAATCCACTGTGGGCCCTAGAAGAGCCGCCGTGGCTGGCTGGCCCCAGCCAATCAGGGGCTTCCTTGTGGACGGTCACTGACCCCGGCCACACCAGACCGCCTGTCACCAGCCAGCCGGCACGCAGCGTGCACGTCTTGCACGCAGCCAGCTCCCGTGCCACCTCTTGCCCTCCTACGCCTCGGCCCCGACTTGCAGCCCGTGTCGTTTTCTGAGGAGGC